CCTGGGGTGGGGGAGGGGCCCTCGGGCTCCTCTTCCTCATCGCTGTCTTCCTCAGGGGGGGAGGGGCTCAGGCCCGGATCCGGCTCCTTCCCGGCATTCCTGGCAAAAAAAAATTGGGAATTTGGAGGTAAAAGTTAAAAAAAAAATTCCCCTAAAAAATAAAAAAGGGAAAAAAAATCAAAATTCCCCCCCAAAAAAACTTGAGTCCCATGAAAATCCCCCCAAAATTTCAAAAAAATTCCCTAAAAAACCCCAAATCCCAGGAAAAACCCCTCAAAAATTGCCAAAAAAAACCCCAAATCCCCCAAAAAACCCCCAAAAATTCCCTAAAAAAAACCCCAAATCCCACAAAAAACCCCAAAATTCCCTAAAAAAACCACCCCCAAATCCCACCAAAAACCCCCCCAAAAATTCCCAAAAAATTCCCAAAAAAACCCCAAATCCCACAAAAAACCCCCAAAAATTCCTAAAAAAACCCCAAATCCCACAAAAAAACCCAAAAAATTCCCAAAAAATTCCCAAATCCCACCAAAAACCCCAAAATTCCCTAAAAAAACCCCAAATCCCACCAAAAACCCCCCAAAATTCCCAAAAAATTCCCAAAAAACCCTCAAATCCCACCAAAAACCCCAAAATTCCCTAAAAAAAACCCAAATCCCACCAAAAAAACCCCAAAATTCAAAAAAAAACCCCAAATTCCACAAAAAAACCCCAAAAATTCCAAAAAAATTCCCAAAAAATTCCCAAATCCCACCAAAAACCCAAAAATTCCCTAAAAAAAACCCCAAATCTCAATAAAAACCCCCGAAAAATTCCCAAAAAATTCCCAAATCCCACCAAAAGCCCCCAAAAATTCCCAAAAAATTCCCAAAAACCCCGAATCCCACCAAAAACCCCTCAAAATTCCCTAAAAAAACCCCAAATCCCACCAAAAACCCCCCAAAAATTCCCTAAAAAATTCCAAAAAAACCCCCAAATCCCACCAAAAACCCCCCAAAATTCCCAAAAAATTCCCAAATCCCACAAAACCCCCCAAAATTCCCAAAAAATTCCCAAATCCCACCAAAACCCCCCAAAAATTCCCAAAAAATCCCCAAATCCCACCAAAAACCCCCAAAAATTCCCAAAAAAACCCCAAAAAACCCCAAATCCCACAAAAAAAACCCCAAAATTCCCTAAAAAAAACCCCAAATCCCACAAAAAAACCCCAAAAATTCCAAAAAAATTCCCTAAAAACCCCAAATCCCACAAAAAAACCCAAAAATTCCCTAAAAAGAACCCCAAATCTCAATAAAAACCCCCGAAAAATTCCCAAAAAATTCCCAAATCCCACCAAAAACCCCCAAAAATTCCCAAAATATTCCCAAAAAACCCCAAAACCCCCCCAAAACCCCCCAAAAAATTCCCAAAAAACCCCAAATCCCACCAAAACCCCCCCAAAATTCCCAATTTCCCCCCAAACCTCTGGATTTGCTCCTCGATTCTCCGGAGCAGCAGCGACTCCGTGGGTGGGGGAGGGGAAGGGGGGGTCCCAGGGCTGGGGGGAGCCACCGGAATTCCCGAAATTCCCGAAATTCCCGGAATTCCCGGAATTCCCGGGGGGTTCCGGCCCAGCAGGGAACGCACGCGCCGGGATCTCATGTCCAGGATGGTGTCGCTGTACCCGACCTCCTCCAGGTACCTGATTTGGATTTTTTGGGGGGAAAAAAAATGGGAAAAATTTGGGATTTGGGAAAGTTGGGAATTTCAAAATGATGGGAGAGGAAATCCCAAAAATTGGGGAATTTTTTGGTTGATTTTTGGGAATTTTTTAGGAATTTTTGGGGATTTTTTGGAGATTTTTTTGGTTGATTTTTGGGATTTTTTTGGTTGATTTTTGGGACTTTTTTGGGAATTTTTTGGGACTTTTTTGGTTGATTTTTGGGATTTTTTGGGGATTTTTTTGGTTGATTTTTGGGATTTTTTGGGGGATTTTTTAGTTGATTTTTGGGATTTTTTTGGGATTTTTTTGGTTGATTTTTGGCATTTTTTGGGAATTTTTTGGTTGATTTTTGGGATTTTTTTGGTTGATTTTTGGGATTTTTTTGGGATTTTTTTGGTTGATTTTTGGGATTTTTTTAGGAATTTTTGGGGATTTATGGGGGATTTTTTTGGTTGATTTTTGGGATTTTTTGGGCAATTTTTTGGGATTCTTTTGGTTGATTTTTAGGATTTTTTTGGGGAATTTTTTGGGATTTTTTGGTTGATTTTTGGGAATTTTTGGGAATTTTTGGGATTTTTTGGGGGATTTTTTTTGGTTGATTTCTGGGATTTTTTGGGAATGTTTTGGTTGATTTTTGGGAATTTTTTGGGAATTTTTTGGTTGATTTTTGGGAATTTTTGGGATTTTTTGGGGTGATTTTTTAGGGTTTTTTTTGGGATTTTGGGGGGGATTTTTTGGGATTTTTTGGGAATTTTTTGGTTGATTTTTGGGGGATTTTGGGGCTTTTTAGAAGGAATTTTTTTACCAGTTTTGATTTTATTTGGGTGTTATTTTTTTGGGATTTTGGGGCTTTTTTGGGGTGGATTTTTATGATGATTTCAGGTGATTTTGGGGTGAGATTTTAACAAATCCCAGGATTATTTTGAATCCCTCTGGAAAAAAAGATGGGCAGCTACAAAAATCCTGGGAAAAAGGGGAAAAAACACCAAAATTCTGTCAAAATTGTGCCTAAAAATTCTGCAAAAATGGTTCAAAAACGCTGAAATTTTGTTAAAATCAACTCATAAAAAAACCTCAACAAAAATTGTCCAAAAAAATTCCAAATTCCCAGAAAATTTCCCAAAAAATCCAACCAAAGTGGCCTCAAAAATGCCAAAATTCTGCTAAAATGACTCCAAAAATGCCCCAAAAAATCTCCATGAATTTCACCCCCAAAAATTCCCAAATTCCCCCCAAAATGCTTTAAAAATTCCATGGAAATCATCAAAAAAATCACATTAAAATGGCCCCAAAATTTTGGTAAAATGCCCCAAAAAATCCTTTATAAAGATTGTAAAAAAAACTGAAAGAATTCCATGAAAATCTCGATAAAAATTCAACCAAAATTGCCCAAAAATCACCCAAAATCTGCTCAAAAAACTCCAAAAAATCCCAAAATTTACCTTTGGAAACCTCAAAAAAACATAAAAAATATAAAAAAAGCTCCAAAATCACCCAAAATTTGCTCAAAAAAATCCAAACCTCCAAAAAAAACCATAAAAAATATAAAAAAAGCTCAAAAATCACCCAAAATCTGCTCAAAAAACCCCAAAAAATCCCAAAATTCACCTTTGGAAACCTCAAAAAAACCATAAAAAATATAAAAAAAGCTCCAAAATCACCCAAAATCTGCCCAAAAATCACTCAAAAATCCCAAATCTTTCAGCCCAAACCCATCCAAAAATTCCAAATTCATCCAAAAATCCCAAATTCACCCCAAATTTCCCCAAAATTCCCAAAATTCCAGCACTCACTGGCGCAGGAGCTGCCTCCCCTCTTTCCAGGCTCCCTCGAGCTCCACGGGGCCGTTGGATACTGGGGGAAAAAAAAGAGTCAAAAATGCCAAAAATCACCCCAAAAACATCCAGAAATGACCCAAAAATACCCCAAATCAACCCAAAAATAATCCCAAAAATAAACCCAAAATAACCCTAAAAA